TGATCACGTTCAAAAGTAACAATGCTCAAATCTTCGAGCATAGTGTATCTGGCCCTAGCCACTGTTGAGCTGTTTGGTTTTGCACTGGTTGACCGCTGACACAAACCCCATCGCGACTTTCTCTTGCAATACTGCTGAATATGCCGAGTGGTTGCTTGCGTGTGATTAGGGAGTCTTAATGAACGGCTGTCACTTTTATTTATTTGGAATGAGTGTGATTGCCAAGTTTTTTTGTAGACTCTTCTACTTTAACATTTTACCAATGGCATAAGCCAGTGCCAAACATTGCTGCAGTTTCTTATCTGGCTTTCAGAAAATATAACGAATGTTTAACTTATACAACCCGTTCAGGTTTCCACGGCATAATGAAGTATTTGTGATGATCTAAGCACTCAGTTCCAGGCCTGCATGTAGTTCAACCACACAGTTACACCACAGTTCCCTTAAGAGTTTTGAAAACATTCTCTCGGTCATATTTCTCTGGTCATTTTCACAAGAGGACAGTTTCTTACCATCATATTGCTTCCCATTTCTAAAAAACTTTGTCGCGTTAAGGAAACTGAAACTCAGCTCTCGAGCTTGGTTTTAGTTTTACAACCATCAGCGTAAGAGCGCTGAAATCATCTGCTTCTCATTGTATCTATAACTCGTTGGATTTTACGCCTGCTACGTATTTTTGACGAGTCAACTCTTCACATTTTGTGAGAGCATTTCCTGGGAGTTCATTACTAAAATTATCATGTTGTCGGCCAAGATTTTTCCATAGAATAAAGGCAGTTTCAAATAATGAGAGTTTTATGTTTGATGGTCCTTAATGTGTTTATTTGTGTGCCATAGTACCTAAACATTAAAAAAATTCACAGTTTATTTCGTTGAACCTATGTCATGCGCTGTCGCCCTCATACCAAACAAAAGTTGGTTTCCTTGTTCTCCAGACTGGTCGAGAAACTTCCTCTCCTCTTACTTCTTTGGGACTTGTCACTGCTGATATTACTGTTTATATTTTCATGAACACGCAAAAAGTCAAAGTTAAGTTTACAATCATTCGTAAGAAAATGGCAGAGACATGGATAATTTTTCCTCCCCACAGAGAACAAAAGACCTTCCGCTGGGATTGTATTTACAACATCAAAAGTGGTGGGAAGACGTACTCATGGAGGTGGGGTGGGGTAGAGGAGGCTGGTGTTAAATTGGAGATGACCCCAAATAGGGTGTCGATTAAATTATTTGTGCAGCTATTTAGAACAGTCGTTGGTGAGGGGGAAGGAGGATTGGGGATAAGCGAAAGGCGGTTGGTCCACACCCGCTGACATGAAAATCTGCGTTGTTCCACACATTCAGAGAGGTGTCGAATTATTTGTAAATATAATACTTCTATCAAAGAGTTTTGTCTTTACCAGTTGCGTCGCGAGTCTCACTTAACCGAGGGATATTCCTATAAAGAATCTATGAACCTGTACTGATTCAGCTGTAGTTTAAGCTTAAAAAAATTATAAAGTTGCAATAGAGACAGGTGGGGGAGGAGGTAGGGCTGCTAATTCAAAAAGGCGCTTAAAACGCAATAAAATGAGGTTTTCCCCTTAGAAGTCGTTTGGAGTCCTGAACTTCATCTAACAGGGCACAATTAAATATCTGATGCAATTCTTTCGTATTGACAGGGACTTATCTCATAATCAATTAGAGAAGTTGCCAGCAGAAGTCTCCAGCAGCCTAACAGTTCTCAAAAGACTCTATATACCAACCAACGTAATCTTTATTCATTACTTCAACATTCACATGAATGAGTCGAAGGCCCGAAACAGTCTCGCGTATAATTCCACTACTTGCAAATGAAATATTTACAATTTGTGGAGGAAAAATGAAACACCAATAAGTCTTCACCCATCCCCCTCCCCACCCCTCTTCCAAAGCACCATTTCCAGCCAAACGAGGAAGAACGAGGAATCAACCTTGTATGAGGATCTCAGTGGTGGTGGTGGGGAAAGGGGTATGCTGACGGTTGATGGTTAAAATTATTCTTTTGACAGTTGACGGCTAGATTTTACGTCATTTCACGGTTGACGTTTATTTTTGAAATGTCGTTTATAAAACGAAATAAACGCGCAAATTTGGCTCTATTATTTTTAACAGGTACAGTCTTTCCCATAATTTAACAATCAAGTTTCTAACAAAGAATCTACATAAACAATTTGGGTTTTTCTCTTCCACCTTTTGTATAATTAGCGTTATTACATCTCCTATGCTACCGTTGGACGTATCAATAGCTTGCTCAACCAAGTAATGTACTTGTATGAAGAGTCGCACGAGGATCTCGAAGTCCTTACTTATCAGAGATCTAATCTTATTTTGTCTGTCTCCCTGATCTTGTTATGGAATTACTTTGTTCCACAATCTCCTCCGGTCCTGTTTCGTCACAGTCACTGTCCGAGTCACTTTCAAATCCATCCAAATGAAAAGTTTCAGGCCCATTGTTTATAAGGACTTGAGGAATATTCTGGTTACTGAAAAAAGTGACAGCCGTACAGTCAGGCGATGTGGATCAGAGTACTAATCCATTAGACGCAGAAGTAGTTGAACTTTTCAAGCAGCTATCTGGAAAAGAAACCCCGATCCAAGTTCCAGACTTTGCCTCCTCGCGCAGAGCTGGCGGAAGAGCGCCTGCTGTGTCTTACGTCGTCTCGCTTCGAACTGTATTCTACATCACTGGTCCATAAAGTTCTATCCATTCTTTCATGGTGATTTCCGCCTCTTTTGGAATAATCTCTGCTGTCAAAGAGGTCATGAATTTAGGGGCCCTGAATGGCATACTAGTCTGAGGTCTCTGAGGAATAAGGTAGTAAGACGCAGGATGTGTGAAATAACTGACTTTCCACTTCGTACTCCATTTAAGGGACTCCTTTGATATAGTTCCAAAGCCCAGAGCATACTGAAGTGCATTAAATGTCCCATGTTTGAAAATTCTGGATTTATGGCGTTGGTGTTTTCTATGAGACAGTTAATTCCTCTCAAAAGAAGCTAAATAGGCTGCTGCGTCTTCTGTGACACTGTGCCCTGAGGACTATTGTGGTTGCCGTTTCTTTCAGATTGTTGTTTGCTTTTCATTGGTTCCCAGCCTGACCACATTGACACGTGCTTTAAAAATGAGTGTAGGCTTTCGTTAAGGGTCGAAGGTTATATAAACTTCTAAGCATTATCTAACAATGCAAATCTAGCTATCTGATCAATGATTTTTTGTTGACAGGGACTTGTCCAATAATTAGTTAAAGAAGTTACCCCGGGGAGTTTTCAGAAGGAATTGGAAATTCGAAAGACTGTAAGTACCAAAATAAAATATTTATTTATTGTTGCAACATCCTTGCGAGTAATGGAAGGGACTGAGGCAGTTTCAGCCAGAATTCCACTCCTTGCAAATGAACATTGTAAAATAGGTGGAGAAAACAATCTATGCCGAGCAATAAAACACCACCGGTCTAATTCTACCTCCTCGCCCCGACATATCATTTGGAGCCTCTTGTATGCTCAAAACACCATTTTGTGAAAAACGAAAACAAAAGAATCTTGCTGATTCTTGGAATATTTTAATCATGACTGTTGCGGTTTCGGAGACTGGCGAAGGGCTGAGTTAATTTTAAAAAATAGATAGCGAGACGTTTCTTGAAGCTATTTGACGGTCACTGATAGGCTCAAATAAATTATACAGCCATCATTTTGGTTTAGTCAGAGGATTGAGTATAATTTTTACAAAATTACTAAAATTCTTGAGTAAATGCGTCAAACTGCGTTGCAAACATTCGGAGAAATCTTGAATTATTTGTAAATGTAATACTCTTGTCAGAGAATCTTATTTTAACAA